TATCAGCACTAAAGTGAAGCCTTCCTGAGGAAAGATGCATTAAACTCAGGAAAGAATTCCTGGGAAAAAGGTCCCCATCTACCCCAAATCATGCCTGAACTATAGGTCTTTGGTTGGCATCTCTGAGTTGTGATGACGAGCACATAATCAGAGCAGCATTGCAGTGCTGTAAGTGGGGTAATAGGAGGACTTAGACAACAAAAGAGAGGATAGAGGTTGGGTGTGAGTCTGAGAAAGCAAAAGGCGACAGGAGAAGGAACTGGTTAAGCAATTAAAAGGGCTGAGATGCAGTAAGCCCTACACACACTTGCTTTCTGCCTGCCCATTGAAACGCTCTATCTGTGGGGCTATGTCAATTTTTCAAACAATGGCGATTTTGTTCACATTTTATGGTGGATTCTGATGGATCCAGAGCTCAGAAGAACAGGATATTTTGACACAGTTCACACATCAAAGATAAGCATTAATGCCTCATTACATCTCCAAAATGAAGCATGACAGCAGCAAAGGCTTGATATGAATAAGCAGCAATGCTGTCAGCAGGAGGTGTTTTTGGGAGTGAGAGGGGTCCTGGGATTGCATGAATGAATGAATGCAAGAATGAATGGAAGGATATATATGAGCAATGTCTGTGTAGTTTCAGGCCTTAGCAAGGACAGGCAGACGAGGATGCTTGACTGCATGGCCACTATTTACTGTTACATACATTTGCACAGCTTTATGTTTGCAATAACTACCTCCCCTGAACCTGGTTTCTCCCTATATCTGTTATGAAAATATGGATAATTGTAGCATGATCGCTACTACTATGTGCATAAAAATGGGTGAGGATGTCTCTTTACCCCTTTGGCTAAGGGTTGCTGCTATCATATCTGTGGGAGCTAGAAACTCTATCCCAATCAGCAGAAGTATTCTTTATTGATGTTGTAGCAAGAAAAACTGTGTTAAGCTTTTGATCAGGAAGTGCTGGCTACTGAAGGAGTTAGCCCTTTTGAAATACTCCCAAGTAGCAGTAGAAGATGCTAAAAAAAGATACTGGGTTAATTGCTGTAAAAGTCTTCCTAAGCAGACAATCACACGTTCTTTTCTTTAGAACTATTTATAATTTAAGACATCATCACTGCACACTACTGTATATTATGTGGAGAGATGTCCATACAGCACACACAAAGGACACTTTGGTGACACGAACAATTGTTTGTCACACTCTCGCACCAAAGCCCCCAAGTCCTACTTAAGTCTGAGATGTGATGCACAACACAGTTTGAGGGTTCAACGTGTTCTCTGACCAAAGAAGAATGCATTCAGATGTAGTCTAAAGTAGTGCAATTCTGCCCAAATCACTTGCCTCTACCCACTTGGCATTTAGCCTGTCCTTGAATAGACCTACTACGAGTTTCAACAGCGTAAGGTTGCTCAACAACAAACCAGAAAGCACATCAGATGTGTATGGCCTCTTCCCTCTCTTCTAAGATTTGACAGATTTGGTTCCGTTACTTTGATTTGACACTGAAATGTAGAATTAATTTTCTGATTTTATCTGTTGTGGTTTTGGTTGGGTTTGTTTTTTTTTGTTTGTTTGTTTGTTTGTTTTTTACATCTAGTGGAAAAAAGTTAAGACATGATTTCTCACAAGGAGACACCAGAAGATTTTCCCACAGGAGATTCTTAAAGTCAGGCTAATGCTGCAATTATCCAAACACACAGCAAGCCTGCAGCTCCAAGCACTCACTTCTGAAAGTCAGGATCAGAAATGTGGTGCTGGAAATACCACACACACATAACTTCATCATGGCTCTGGGATTTCCTCTAATATCATGTTTACAAGACCTACATTTTAAAAAAAGAGAAGATATCAGTTTAGAAAGGCATTTGAACAATAACACTAACTTTATAAAAGGAAAAACAGGTTAAAGCTATTGAACCTTTTCTGTACACATTTCAGTATTATCTACAATGCCACCATTGAAAGCTTGCAAAGAATTAAAGTGTCTATTTCATTTTCAACTACAGAACACTGTGTAGAGGCACCTGAACTCAGGCATTTGTGTTTATCATACAGATTTAAGTCTTTCTGAACAGTTTCTCAGCTGATCACATCCTGTAAGTGACTGCAAGGAGCAGCAAGAGAAGGTCTGCAAATTAACCAATTTTAACCAATTTTAATTTTAATTTTAACCTCCAATTTTAATTTTAATTTTCTGTTAGTTTCAGGCAGCAGCTCACCATCAGAGTGTGAGCAGGGCTTGTAGAACCCTGCTGTCCCAGCATCCACGTGTGGGGACTGTCACTTGCCCAAGGCCAGATGTGGCCCTGACAGTGACAGAGGCACTACCCTGCATCAGAATACACTCAGGTCGGACTACAGAGAGCAGCCAACAGGGCAGACCTCATGGACAGGACAGCTGGGGCCATGCGCTCTACCAAACCCACACAGAAAGGCTCTCTGGACCCTGGCAAACCTGCACTGGATGTGATGGCCTCTCTCCCGATGACTTTAATCTCCATAGTCTTCAGGTCCCTGTAAGTGTTCAGCCACCCTTTTAGGATCCCTGAGAATATAGAAGCAACATCTATCCTAGTAAATTAAATATGCCTGGCACTGGTCCCTTGCCCTGAGGCCAGCTGGCCTGGAACAAGCCACTGCGACGCTGTTGAACTCTCTCGACCTACCAAACAGAGTGGTCCCATCTCACTGCCTCTTGGGAATGCCTGTCCTAACTCCCAAACTGGTCCTGGGAACTGCCTGGGAGAGCGCCCAGGCCAAAACTGGGTCAGACACTACGCTGACAATTCAACAGCACAGGCAACAGAGTCCTAGTGCCTGGTCATATTCTTTGAGCCTGATGGTGCAGACTCAGTCAGATTGGATCCATTTTATTACAGGTGCAATATAGCACAGAGTTTTTTATACCTACATGATACGCAGGTGTAAGCAGAAAACAGATAGTCTAAACTTCTGTTTAGATGGAGTCTGATTGTAAGCAAAACCGATCAAAGCTCACAGACTAACCCACAGGGGAGCCACTCTGTTTTCCAGCATCACTGTGTGATGTACCGCTTTCCTTATGTCTAACTTATCCTGTCATAAAATTTACCTATGCCTACGGGCAGATGTCCTTAGGTAGGTGAATCCAGAGCTGACCCTGTGATTCGTCACCTGTAATGCACCGGTTAGGTACAAAATCAGAGCTCACCTTGCCTTGACCTGCAAGTGGGATTTTTGGTAAGCACTACAGCAGCTCCACGCTGACCTGTGCCATCCGAGGGCTGCATGCAGCTCACAAGTGGCTACGAGGAGCCACGGGTTGGAACCAGCAGCCTTCCTCTCACCAACACTCTCTTGTGCCATCCCGGCAGAGGGGTCGCAGCCTGGAGCACAGGGAAGGTGTGTGGAGGCTGCTGGACTCCCCAGCTGGCCAGGCCTCGGGGACACCACCACGTCATCACCCAAGTGGCTTCAATGAGCAGCTCCTTACCCCGGGGCCCTGAAACCCCATTCCAGCTCATGCCAGGCCCCCAGTCCTGCCCTAAGCCACATCAGAGCTGTGCCCGTGCCGAGCTGGTCCCCTGCTCAGCCTGCCTTGCTGACTGGTTCTCCAGGACAGACCATGCTTTTCCTTCCCCACTGGTCACTGGGCTGCTGCAGGCGCCTGCTCCAGCCCCAGCTATGCCCACAGCATTCAGGCCTGTGGGGCCATGCCTGGGTGTTAGGGCACTCCTTGTGCTGTGGTCCCCCATCGCCCTGGCTTGGACCCTCTCGGGGAGCAATCCCGATCCTGCCACCGCCTGACGTCCACACTGCGACTCCATTTTCCCACAGTGGAGCCACAGCTGTTTCACTCTGGCCTATTAAGAAAACATTTAGATCAGCAAAAGAATTCTTCAAGCTTAGCAAATACTTGGTTTTAGATACTTATTTAAAGTCTGTACATACTGAAGAGCTTCTCCTAAGACAAGTTTCTTTTTCTGCCTGGTCAATACGCATCCCCCGTGGCACAGCTAGAGCTTATGCAATGGCTGCATGCAAGTGAAAAACCCTTTAATTCTGGAATGGAGCTACTCATTAAATCAAGCCTTAACAATATTCCCATCACAGCACAATAGAGCAAGAGCTGTTTGAGATTACATGACTACACTTCCCTTTCAGGGCAAGAAGCTTTCCTTTTTAATGTCTTTAGCAGCGCTTTTTATTGAAAAGACACCTGATTGCATCTGAATGCTCTTTCCAAAAATTCCCTCTAAATATCAGTGAAGAAAAAACATCCTGCTGTTCAGTAACTGAGAATCTTGTAGAGCGGTGCCCACAGAAGTGCTTTGGCTAGGGGAAGAGATCCACCTGCTTGGAGCAGATGACATAGTCCCTTCCTGAGGTGCTAGAAATTCAAAACAGCACTGATGTGACAATACTCTGACAACATAGTGGCATTTGAGGTGACCTGGTGGATGTATGTGCAGATCAGCAATGCAAAATGGGTGGTGGGGCACATGGGGAGGGGTTGCCATGCTG